TCCGGCCGCTTAAAGAAAATGTCGATTTTTTGTAAAACTTCTTAAGATAGGATCATGATATTTATTAACAAGCTAATAAAATAAATGTTATAACATAAAATGTAATCCAAAATAAATTAAAACAACGAAACAAATGTCTACAACACATAAATTATAATGAAATTTTGTCCGGTTTTACCTGTGACATGGGGGTAACAGCGACAGGGGACCGAAATTTCCCTCCGTGAAATCTTTTATTGAAAAAAATCATATTTCCAATTTCGATCTCTAAAATCTGTATACTCTACCCAGACGACACACCAAATCCCAGAGATATCCACAGAATATCTTTTGTGGATATCCAATATATCCACAGGGTATCAGAAATATTCCGTGGATCTAATATGGATATCCAAATGTCCGTCTATATCCAGAATATAGAAGATATCATATGGATATCCATCAAAATATCTAATGAGTATCTTCCAGACGATACAAGAAATCCCACAGAATACATTCTGTGGATATCCAACCAAATGTCCGTCTATATCCCAGGATATAGAAGAATTCGGATATTCAGCAAAATATTTTATAGGTATCTTTAGTAGAGGTTCATAAGTAACCAATGATTATTGAATAAAGTCGAAAGAAAATAGCAGAAATAAAAAATATTTTCAACTCTCAAAATATTTTCAACACTCTGCCTTTGATTTTGCCCACTAAGGAGAAAGTTATACATATTAGAACTCTTCAGCAATAAATGGAAATTCTCGACTCCAGTCTCTAATGGAGTCTGATTGTGAAACAAATTTCGATCGAACTCAATTACGACGGGTTGAGCATGAGTAGATGAGAAAGTAGTATCGCCATCTATACTTAGTAAGCAAAATCAAAAATTACATTTAGTGTATATCCACGATGGTTTGCGTTCGCGCCTAGACTTTGATATATTTAGTGGATGTCCATGGGATATTGAATACACCTTAAAAAAAATAATTTTAAATATCTGAACGGTACTATTAGCTACAATGGCGAGCACAATGGCGTAATTTTTTAATAATTTGCTATATAATTACTATTATTTATGGACATTTGCATGTCTATAAATTACATCTCACGGATATAAAATAGATATCCACCATGGACTGGACATTCAGTGGATATTGGGATGTTCAGTAGATATCCAAAGGATTTGGTGTGCTGTCTGATATACATATTTTTTTCCAAATTCGCCGCATATAAGACATTAACAGCTATAATTTCATTAATATCTATAATTTCATCATCTTCTTCTAAAGACTCTTAATTTTGTTGATGATATCTTACCACTTTAGCTTTTCGGTTTTTCTTTTCTCACGTTTCTGGTAGTTTTCGTTTTCCCACTGTAACCTGACTAACTAAGCCACTTTCATTTAAAACATTCCATGTAATTTTCTTAATTTTTTCTTCTTTTTTTTTTACTTTCCTATCTGTATACAGATATAAGGAAAGTATAGGAATCATGATTTTTTTCGACCTCGAGTTTTCGACGGATTTTTACGTTTTGAGTTCCCCTGAATCCGTTTTGACTATTTTCGCGATGATGTCTGTGTGTGTATGTGTGTGTGTGTGTGTGTGTGTGTGTGTGTGTGTGTGTCTGTATCCACCATAACTCATGAACCGATACACAGAAAAACACCAAATTTCAAACTTAAGATTTATTCCAGCGTCCAATGAAATTATTAGATTTTGGGCAGAGTCGGAACATCTGGGGGGTACTTTATAGGTGGTAATTTTTATATTTTATGGAATATATCTGTTATTTACGTTTGGAAAAGAAAATTCTTCAAATAAAAGTTACTTCTAATATTATTATCTATAATTTTTGTTATATACAAAATTTTCCTAAAATGGTCCGTATTCGAGAAATTTGACAAAATGTAAAAAAAATAATTTTTTATAAAAATTGTTTAAATAAAAGTTGTTTGTAATATAATTTTCTATAATTTTTATTCTATACATTATTTCTTTAAAATGAACCGTATTCGAGATATTTGAGAAAATGTGTAAATTTCGAATTTTGAAGAAAACTCAAAAACTGATAAAGAAAAAACATTAAATTTAAAACTTAAGTTTTATTTCGGCCTGACGTGAAATGATTAGATTTTGGACAAAGTCGGAACATCTAGGGGGGGTACTTTATGGGAGGCCGTTTTTATATTTTATAGAATATATCTGTTATTTATGTTTGGAGAAGAAAATTGTTCAAATAAAAGTTATGTCTAATATTATTGTCTATAATTTTTGCCTTATATCAAAATTTCCTGAAATGGTCCGTATTCGAGAAATTTGACAAAATGTGCAAAATTCTGATTTTTATGAAAATTGTTGAACTAAAAGTTGTTTGCTATATCGATCTCTATAATTTTTGTTTTTACATTATTTTTCTAAAATGGACCGTAATGGAAAAATTGTAGGAAAAGTGCTAAATTTTAATTTTTCAGTATTTTCGTTTTCAATGAATATCTATAAAAAAATGTTTTAAGGTAGATGTATGTGGAAAATGTATTTATTTAGTTTATCCTATAAACACTTATAGAGGTGCTACAATAGGTTGTACAAAATAACTGGAAAAAGCCTATAATTACTAGATAGGAAAGTCATGTGTTGGACACATCAGATTTTTACGTATATTGAATCTAAATATCTTAAAAATATATTGACAATTACTTTAATAGAATTGTCACTCATATAAAATTTAAAAAATAATAGTAGCCTGATGGCCAAAATTAATAATCTAATAATTGATTAGGCATTCCAAAGACAATTGACAAAGTGATATAATTGACAATGCCTAGCAAGTACCATACAGTGATTGCAGAGTGTGTTTTTTGGTGCTTATTGAAAATCGGATTAGCACATCCTAAAACATAAAGACTTGACAGATTATGGATACCTACTGTGATGCCTACCAGCGGTACTAGCGCACAATGCGGCCCGCTTTTTGAGCAATTTATATAATATTTATATCATTGATACAGTCAATAACATCGCCGAGTGTAAACAGTCAACTATCGTTGGAATGACTAAGTCTAACGATAGTTGACTCTTCTCTCTCCCACTCTATCCTACTCTACTCCCACTCTAACCCCACTCTACCCCCATTCTACCCTACTTTACTCAACTCTACCCCTACTCTACCCTTCTATTTCCCTACTCTACCCTTCTATTTCCCTACTTAACCCCATTCTAATCCACTCTACCTCATTATACCCCCACTCTACTCCCACACTAACCCCCTTCTACCCCCTCACTCTATCCCCACTCAACGTCACTCAAGCCCCTTTCCACACTGTACACTACACCTTACCCCACTCTATCTAACACTCTACCTCACTCTACCCCACTCTACCACACTCACTTTACCCCACTCCCCTTTACTCCATTTGCTTCGTCTCCACTCCACTCCAATTCACTCTGCTTCGTCCCGTTCTTCCCTCCCCACTTCTGCCCCTGTTATATTTTTGAAACAGAAAAATCGTATGTAAACTCTCAAGGTTAATGTTCATTTAATTTCGTGAGCTTACCATGGTTATGTTATAAGCGTTACACCTTACATTAAAATTTCATTCTCGCCAAAAAATAACGGACCACTGTCTACTCGTCAAATATAGAACGGCGGCCTAAGAAATTTTACTTCAAAAACTTTCATCCGTTGAACAGATGGGTGAAGGTCGACCTTACTTCGGATCCTGGACTAATGCGCACTGATAAAAAATTCAAAATAGATTAATTTGGCAACATTGCACAAGTGAACACAGATCAATGAAACAACAGTCCCTAGAGAACTTATCAGTGTAAGTCAGAGTTGATTTGATTTACATGATATACGTGACTGAAAATGAACTGTTTTAACCGGTTTTCTTTTGATGTCAAACATTGTCAGTGTGTCAGAGTTCCAGAGTTTCCATATAATTATATAATAATAAAATAAACTTGCAGCAATGTCTGCAACTTTTTATTTTTAAATGGGATATTTTGTGTTATTAAGTTTACAAAAAGTTTTCAAAAATGAATTTATTAAAGAAAATTTTAATAATGAGAGCAGACAAAATATCGCAAGCAACTCTCATGTAATGGCTATTCATTCACTCGCATGTTATGAATATACGAAACTCGCCTGCGGCTCGTTTCCTATCCTGCAACGTTGTCACACAAAGTAGTTAATTTTTAATCAAAATATTTGAGAAAGTTCGTTTTAAATTATAGTCGTAGAAAAAGTACATTCCCTGACTCTTCGTCGTCGTCAGCAGGGGCGTAATATATTCGGCATGGAGAAGTAATGGGGGTAAGTACCCCTCAAAAAATGTATAAAGCTAAATTTTTATTGGTACTAAAATATTTAATTACCAAAAATAAGGTCTTAAATATTACCACTACCCCCCTAGACTTAAACTTTATTATCATTACCCTCTATAGGTACTTAACCTCTGGATACGGCACTGGTCATCAGGAAATTTTTAGAAAAATTTTTGGATCCGATATACTTAGTTATTTTACTTTTTCGAATTATTTTTCATGGCTGAAATAAGCATAATATTATTGTACATAAGAATTATTTTCAAAGTGATTTAAAAAAATTATAATTTCAAAGTTGAAAATAAAAAAAAAAAACAAAAATAGGCCCCGGCGAGATTCGAACTCGCGATCTCCTGTTTACTAGACAGGCGCTTTAACCAACTAAGCCACGGCGCCGTTGTATTCAATGTTTTCCGAAGATAATAAAACCAAATTCGTAATATAAACCTACCGGCGTTTCTTACTTATTTGTTTACGAATAAAATATGATAATATCTTCCAAACAAACCTTTTTGAAGTACGAATTTTACCGCCTATTTGTTCTAATAATTTTCAAAAAGTAAAAATACTAAATGATACATATTAAACAGAACCACGTGTCATGATTCAATCCAATCATGGGAGATGCGGAATGTTGTCTTCCCGGTGCGGGTGCATGCATTCCATGCATTGTGTAGCATTGTGAAAAGAGTGCGCATGTCATTAAAGTTTGTAAGCGTTGTGGACGTGTTGTTTAAAGACTTTTGTGAAGTTATTATTTTATAATTTTAAGTAAGACATTTAATTATTTAAGTATTGAAAATGTCGACGACCGGTAAAATTCCTCCGATAACTATGAGCAAACTTTACGTGGGTAATTTACCAACCGAAACCAGTGAAAATTCACTCCGGCAACTGTTTGAAGAACAGAATTTATCTTATACGAGTATTTTAGTTAAACGTGGAGGATATGCTTTTGTTGATTGTCCCGACCAATCTTCTGCAGATAGAGCAATTGACAAGTTAAATGGTAAGTAAGAAATTGAACTTTGTTTATTACTTATTCTTGCAAAAGTTCAAAACTTTGAACATCACTGTCATGTTTATTTTTTAAATTGTATTGTTGGAATGTAACGCAAAGTATGGTAATTGGGGAAATACAGTTGGTAATCTATTATTTAAATATTCGAAAAGCTAAAAAGTTAATAAAAACCAACGTTAAAGCATAAATAATTTGAATTAATACCGAAAACTTTTAGGTTAGAACCATGTATTGTCAAATTAATTTCGGCGAAACGCAACAAACTGGTTTTAGGTAGGAACATACATGGACCCATCTCATAAGACAGAGTCGTATTCAGAACTCTTGTATTTATAAATTCAGTTTGTTGTATTTTGCATGTATCTTTTTAATTTATTGTTGTTCTAAATTTTTCTGTTTCTTAGAATACTTCAATCTATTGATATCTGCAGTTTTTGTGTTTATTAATTTTCATCCCAGAAAAGGGATGATGAAGTTATGACAAAATCTTTCGAATAAATTATGTTTGGAAAATGTTAATATTTTAAACGCTTTTTGATTAAAGTCTATTCAAATTTAATTTACGCCTCATGTAAACCGAAGCAGGTGTACGCTAAAATTGAGCAGGGCCGTATTTTACTTTTCCGTCTTGCAAAAATGTAAAATAAAAGAGTGGTATTGGGAAATTATTTTTTTATTACGATAAAAACATATTTTGTAAAGTAAAACTATAAAATAAATGCCATACACGGTCTCCTAGACTTTAGTGACATTTCTGGACGAAGATAGGTGAGCGACATAAACTGCGTTAACCTGCAATACAAATTAATAAATGTATTTGACTTTAAAGGTAATGTTGTAGTTGAAGGGTCTGGAAATGCGCCAGTCCGCACCATTGCTGTTCCGGCTAGTTCTGTCAGTTGGAATCGTTACATAGTTGCCAGGTTATATTGAATTATTTGGAACCAGGGAATAAGCATATTGAAATAATTATTTTACTTTTAATCATCTATTTACCAATTTTTACATTGATTAAAAAACCCATAAAAATAAACAAATTCTAAAGATTTTCAAGTAATACGATCGTTATTTTTAATGGCAATAATACCTTTCAATAGAGATAATTACAAAATTTAAATTTAAAATCTATCAAAACTGTCTTATAAAACAAGGTAATTATTGGGAAGACGCCCTTTTCTTAATAATCCAATTTTTTTTTCAAAACTTACGCTTTAGGCTTTAGGAAGGATAGTAATCTTCAAATTTATCTGCGGAAACCCCATACATTTTACTTTTTTTTCTTTTTTATGCATTATTTAGGAATTTTGAGGATCATTTATATAAGCTTCTTTTTAGAATTATATCTGTCCTGTCATACTGGAAACTGTCAGGCCATTACAAATGCGCGGTGTTGCCAACTTCTCCAATCCTAATCAATGAAAAATAAATGTAAAAAACTATAATTACACCACCGGTGGAAATCGCAAAAAATGTGATATTTTGGGTTCGATTAATTTTAATTTCGAAAAAAAAATTGTTACACTAAAAAGTACTCATTTTATATAGTAAGATTTTAAAGGGCGTCTTCCCAATAATTACCAATTTTATTTAAATTGTTGTAATACACAATTGACTGAATATTAATATTACATCATCTATAAAGTAATAAACAATGTTTACTTTTTAAAAACTCAATTACTTTACCCAAAAGTCTTTAAAGTTTTTTCAAACAAGGAAATTTATTTATCTGACAACATAATTATGACTTGACGGCCAAAGTCAATGATTATCATCAACTAAAGAGGATAGGGACCGTGCGTGAAATATAGAGGCAGCACTACTGCCGAAGTTAGCCCTCTCTAGTGTTCAATTTTAGAATTAAATGGGGTAAACATTGCAAGTAAAAAATAAAGGATATTTTTTAAAATATTAAATATAGTTAAATATAGATACCGGCTTGTAACAAACAATCGTTTACATGGTCAAAATGATATAAAATGTGAAAAATTATTCAAATCTGGACATGTATATACATTTTAAGCAAAAAGATTTAAATGGTTAAGTGACAATAAATTGTAAAGTTGTACCTCAAGCAAGTGTATCCAATGTCAAAATATCGCTATTTAGTAACACTAAATTTAAAAGTATTACAATAACATTTTAAAAATGTAAATTAATAAAAAAGGTAGAGAATAATAATACTTCTTTATGTTAGTAGAAATGTCATTCATCCACCTTTGACGTTTATGAGACACCCAATGCTATACATAATTATACAGATTGCTCACCCATCTATAAAAAAGATTACGAAAAGCGGGTTGCAATGTGCACTGCTATATTATTGCCTTTCCTAGTGCCCACGAAATAGGGCGTTCTAGCCCAAATGTGTTTTAAAATAAAATTTCAGCGTTTTATTCTTTAGAAAAAGAAAATAATTACTTAATTCAAGACACGTTATTATGTAATTTGAGAGTTGAGTTTCCATGTAGTTAAATAATATCAAGAGATTTAAACAATTTTTATAAGGATGGATGTAAATAATTTTAGACCACTCTCATTTTAGAAATAACACTATATAAAACACATAATTGCAGTATGTAATACAACTTTGTAAAGGTAATGTAAACAACTTTAATATGAGATATAAACAACTTATATAAGAGTTTTAATTGGACACTTATCTATTATTCTGAATGTTTAATAGTAATGTTACTAAAAATTTTACAGAAAATCACTGCATTTTTAATATTTTAACATTTGTCGCAATCTCTTTTGACAGTAATTGCAATGTATTAATTATGATTTGTTTAGTGATAAATGAGATATAATTAACAAATTGTATGATATGTTTGTCAAATTGGACATTCTAATTTCACAGTAACATCCGAGAATACCGATCAAGGAGAAGCGACAGTAGCTGTCGGTGCCTTTGATATAGGATGGACCTTTTTCACATCATGACTTTGATTAATACACAACTTAGCAAAACATGCTTATTTTCTACACTGAGCGAAATAGTTTGGCAAATTATCTGAAATCATTGTTATAGACCATGCGCAAATGTTGTAATGTGATTTAATTACATTGAAGTAGTTAGGGTTAATAGCAATTAATAATCATGATATTTACTGTTCATAGTCCTTTGAAAAAGTAAATAAACTTAATTTTTGGCCTGTTTTGGACGAACAAGAACGGTATGCACAAAAATATCCAGATCCAGACATTCTATTACAACATAAAGAAACATCAAAAAATATCACTCAACAGCTCACAGACTAAACACAACTTGGACTGAATTTGACAGATAATATGATTTTGAGTGATACACAACTTATTTTCGCACATGCGCGTATCAAAACGGTACACTGAAAACACCAAGCTGTCGCTTCGCCTTGATCGGTATTCTCGGGTAACATTCTACATTAGTTTTAATAGAATAAACCATTTATTATCTGTAAAATTATATTTATATAAAATGTTCATTTAAATATGTAAAAATCTTGATGACAAAAAACACTAAATATTCTAATTTCATAAACCAATTCTGTAAATGATTTGTTTACAACTAAGTGCTCAAAATTGATACAAGATAGATACATATGGATAAGCAATCTATGTAATTATGTATATCGTTGGGTGTGAGACACGAAGTGTGCTCTGTGGAAATTTATAAAATTTCTTTACTACCGAATCAAATCCAGGTTTCCAAAGCGATATGTTTGTACTTCCACGGATGCAACAAGTTTTTTCGATAATGATATTACGAAAATAATTCGACTTTATTTAATTAATAATTACTAAACAATAAATGCCGTATAAAACATTAATAAATCTCCCCCAAAAAGTGCACATTTTTGTCACCAGTTGGCGTTAAAGTCATGACGCACGGTCCCTATAGCCGAATTCGTTTAATTTCTGCTGGGTTAGCCGTGACATTATCCCCCGAATACGTTCAGCTACATTTAAAACGTACACCGATACACACTTTTTAAAATTACGTTTAATATTTTCTTACTTTAAAATTTAAAAGTAATTCAGATATTCAAAAATCATTTGACCGGGCGCGCCCTTTTTACATCTACACTATAAGATATACGCTACCGCCACCTCACCCTACTCCTAACCACTTCAGAAGAGAGTGAACGAAGAGAGCGCGCGCCCAGCCGACGTTTCGAAATCGCGCGCGCGCGAATTCCAAACGTCGGCCGGGCGCTCTTTTTTTAAATCTACACCATAAGACATACGCTGCCGTTATCTCACCCACCTCCTAACCACTACAGAAGAGAGGGAGCGCGCCCGGCCGACGTTTCGAAATTCGCGCACGAAGTCGGCCGAGCGTGCATTTTTTACATCTACACTATAAAATATACGCTGCCGTCTACTCACCCACCTCCAAACCGCTTTAGAAGAGAGCGAGCGAAGCGAGCGCGCCCGGCCGACGTTTAGAAATTCGCGCCGACAAAGTGGTTAGGAGTAGGATGAGATGGCGACAGCGTATATCTTATAGTGTAGATGTAAAAAGGGCGCGATTTCGAAACGTCGGCTGGGCGCGCGCTCTCTTCGTTCGCTCTCTTCTGAAGTGGTTAGGAGTAGGGTGAGGTGGCGGTAGCGTATATCTTATAGTGTAGATGTAAAAAGGGCGCGCCCGGTCAAATGATTTTTGAATATCTGAATTACTTTTAAATTTTAAAGTAAGAAAATATTAAACGTCGTAATTTTAAAAAGTGTGTATCGGTGTACGTTTTAAATGTAGCTGAACGTATTCGGGGGATAATGTCACGGCTAACCCAGCAGAAATTAAACGAATTCGGCTATCCTCTTTAGTTGATGATAATCATTGACTTTGGCCGTCAAGTCATAATTATGTTGTCAGATAAATAAATTTCCTTGTTTGAAAAAACTTTAAAGACTTTTGGGTAAAGTAATTGAGTTTTTAAAAAGTAAACATTGTTTATTACTTTATAGATGATGTAGGTAATATTAATATTCAGTCAATTGTGTATTACAAC